AGTCAGTTACCTATGGAGTAGTACCCATATGATTGTCAGCTGATTTCTCAACAGAAACTATGCAGGCCAGAAGGGAATGGCAAGAAATATTCAAAGTGATTAGCAAGAACGGGAGTACCCATACGACTGTCAGCTGATTTCTCAACAGAAACTTTGCAGGCCAGAAGGGAGTGGCAAGAAATATTCAAAGTGATGAATAGCAAGAACCTACAACCAAGATTACTTTATCCAGCAAAGCTATCATTCAGAATTGAAGGTCAGATAAAGAGCTTCACAGATAAGAAAAAGCTAAAGGAGTTCATCACCACCAAACCAGCATTATATGAGCTGATGAAAGGTATTCTTTAAGAAGAGGAAGAAGAAAAAGGTAAAGATAAAAATTATGAACAGCAAATACATACCTATCAACAAAATCTAAAAAAAATCAAGTGAATAAAAAATCTGATGAACAGAGTAAACTGGTGAATATAATAGAACCAGGGGCATGGAAAGGGAGTGGACTGACAATTCTTGGGGGGAAAGGGGTGTGGGGGTTTTTGGGGGAAAAAAAGAGGAACAACTGTAATAATCTGAACAATAAAGATTTAATTAAAAAAAAAGACACAAAGGTCGTTTGTGGTCCCTGTGGATGGGGAAAATATAGAGGACACCCAAGTGATAATGAGGAATCGTGAGAGAAGGAGAAGAACATTTCAAACTGTAAACCCACCATTTACAAATATTTCCTTAACATCGTTTTATTACTCACTTTATTGGTTTAGAGAACCTGGGTTCTTGGTTGTGCTTTGCCAAAACCTGGCCCTGGACCCTTTTAAAGTCATTTTGCTGGGTTCTCCTGCCCCCCCCCCCCCCAGGTTTTCTTTTTCTTACCAGGAAATTGAAGGTTCGGATTATTCTCAGAGTTGCCCTTGAGGATGTTAAGAATCCAGATAACTTGTCCCAACCCTGGCTGACCGAATAATAATAATAATAATAATAATATCACTAGATGGGGCCTGGGAATCTGCATTTCACACGGTGCTGGTAGGATGGCTGCTCTCTAAAGACTGAGAAACACTAAACAAATTGTTGCTGCTTCAGCCGGCCTCAGGAACTGAAGCTGGGAAGCTTACCCTTAGGAGAAGGAGGAGGAGGAAGAGGAGGCGGAGGAGGAGGAGGAGGAGGAGGATTACCCCTAAAAGGAGGTATTTTGGTGGCAAACCACCTTTCAGGTTACTCCGCCTCAGCCCCGCGCGTGGCTCTTGGCCCCCCGCTCGCCGCCATACTTCACCTGTAGGCGCCCAGGTTGATGCAGCTGATGCCCAGGTTGTATCTGGAGCGGATGAAGCCGGGCTGGATCTCCAGCGCCCGCGTGTAGGCCTCCACGGCTTCCTCGCTGCGGTCTCCATTCGCCAAGGTCGCCCCCAGACGGTTCCATAACGAATAGTCCTGATGACAAAGGGAGAGGTCTCTCTCTAACCACCAGCACCAGCCTCCGTGCCCAAGTGTCCTCCTGTCCCTGCAGGAGAAGGCTGATGGCTGAACATTTCTCCCGCGCTCACGGGACGAGGGCCGGGACGTGGTGAATTACTCAAAAATCCTTAGGGACTACTTTGTGAAGTGACTCTCATTCATCAAGGAGAGCTACCATTGGATGCTGTCAGGCAATTCGTGTTTCTATTTTAGGTATGTAAGTATTAATAGCCACAGTAGCATGTCATTAGTACTGATCGCTTTCAACCGCGGGGTGCAGGGAAATAAAGTGTAGCAAAACTGCCCAGCCCTGCCCAGCGTCGGTCAGTGGTTAGAGCACTGGTCTGCGCACTGGAGGGTCTCGAGTTCAATTTCCAGTCAAGGGCGTGCACCTGGGTTGCAGGTTCGATCCTGGTCCAGTTGGGGCTCATGTGGGAGGCAACCAATCCATGTGTCTCTCTCACATTGATGTTTCTCTCTCTCTCTCTCTCTCTCTCTCCCTCCTTTCTCTTCTCTCTCTAAAGGTCAATGGGGAAAAAAAAATACTCAGGTGAGAATCAAGAAAATGTACGAAGTACATCTGGTGAAAACTTTTCTTTAACAGAGAACCATATGGTTTCTTGCTGTGCACTTACCTCTGGCCGAACAGTTAAGGCGGCGTTAAATGCATCTATTGCTCTATTAAATTCTCCGCTCAGGTGGAACAGCACCCCTAGACCTGTCTGCAGGTCTGGGTCGATCGTATCTCCATTTTGGTGGGCAGCTTCCAGATATAATTCCTTCACGCCTTCCAGAACAGAGCTACCAGGGGGAAAAGTAGATTTGTAATCCAAATAGTCTGAACGTAAATGATTTACTATTATGTTCGCTGTTCTTTACAGACTGAAAAAAAAAATCTGGCTTAAAATACCTCAAGTGTATGAGAGGACTATTATTAATACTGCAGTTTAACAATTCCTTGCTGATTTTCATGACATACTTTGTCGTACAGAGATACGAACAGTGCTAGGAAAGGAGAGTTCCACTGACCCTGTAAGTAGAAAACCCTAGGGCAGTGGTCGGCAGACTGGAAATTGAAGGTTCGGAGCTCGCGAGCCACATGCGGCTCTTTGGCCCCTTGAGTGTGGCTCTTCCACAAAATACCGGCTCTTCCACAAAATACCGACTTCTGTGCATGGGCCACGAAGTTTCAATCGCACTGTACGTGTGCGCCCGCATGTGGTATTTTGTGGAAGAGCCACACTGAAGGGGCCAAAGAGCCGCATGTGGCTCACGAGCCGCGGTTTGCCAACCACGGGCCTAGGGCTGGGTGTCCCGAGGCCTCAGTGAGAAAGAATTTAACATCATGGTTTATTGCTGATAGAAACAAAATTGCAGAAGAAAGGGCTTCCATTGTCCCCCATACCTCATTCTCAGGCTTTACAAAACTTGGCACAAGGCTACTTATTATAATTTATTTTGGGTTAATTATATGTCCAAAGCAGTTGGCTTTAGTGTATGGCACTCAGATAAATATCTGTGGTTGCCCATGATGTAGATCACGTGTCCAGAGGTTGGCCCCACTCTCAGCTCCATCTTTTAAATCAGTGCTGCTCTTCTGGCAGAACACTGTCCTACACGCCATCTGGAGCGGGTGCTGGGGACCCCAGGCTCGTTCTTTACCGTCTTGGTGATTAATTGTGTGGAAGGGTGTAATTTAATGATGTGGATACCTATCCACCGGAGACTTAGACATCCTCCGGGCGAGGCCTGGCGATCCCTTCTTGCTCTTCACAAGGTATTTGTACTTTGGGTTTTGCTTAATCCAATTCTTCAGCGCGTCACAGGCATCCTGCTGATGGCCCGTGTTCGTGTAACTCACGGCCAAAGCCATCAAAGCTTTCAAGTTGTTCGGCTGCAATTCTAAGCACCTGAAGGAATTGGGGGGGGGAAAGCCAGTTTCAGATTTTTTTTTTCGGAGTTAGAGTCTGAACAGTTCTTTAGAAAATCTGAGGTCTTTATTAATTAAATGGTACTGCTAAGGTTATGTGAAGCCCCTGGAGAATATCACATTCATTGCCTACATGAAAATTAGGACCTATGCTTATTTTTAAGAAAGTTAAAACTCACCCTGATGCATGCCAGTTTTGGTAATTTTAACAAATAATTTAAAAGCTATAGAAAATGTAGCTAATCCCTGAACATAATTTATTAGTAGTTCATCTAATGAGAAGTAGGGGCTATCATTCACGCTGCTCTACTGTCAGTGTATGAAATGCACCTTATCCACAAAGCAAACTGGTTTGAATTAAATCTGGACATCCAGAGGTGAAAGATGGAACAGCGTTGTGTAAAGGAGAGGGAAATCCCATGTTTCCAGACTATCAGTGTGGGCTTACGGGAGGCCCAGGCTACGATGCTTCCCCTCATGCTATTCCACTGGCCTCTGGCAAGGGCTTTTTAAACCTTGATGTGCATGGGAATCATCTGGGGATCTGGTAAATGCAGCCTCTGATACAGAGGGCCTGCGGTGGGCCCAGGCTGGGCGGGTCTGACAGGCTCCCAGGTGATGGTGATGCTAGGAGTCTCTGGATAAGACTGAGTAGCAAACCCTAGATCACTGGTTCTCAACCTTGGCTGCACATTAGAATCACCTGGGAATCTTTTTAAAATCCTGATTTCTGGGCCTCATCCTCCGGAAATTCTGTTTCTTTGTTATGGGGTGGGGCCACAACATTAGTAACAAAGAAACAGAATTTCCGGAGGATGAGGCCCGGAAATCAGGATTTTAAAAAGATTCCCAGGTGATTCTAATGTGCAGCCAAGGTTGAGAACCACTGATACATATATATATGAAAGAGTAGGGAAAGTGGGAGTCTATTTGGTAGGGGCTGTCCTCCCCACCCCCAGGGGTTAAATGGGGGCTCTAATCAAGTATGGTGCGATGCTACACCCTCCCAAAGTAGTCTAGAGCTTTAGTCAGGGGCTCAAACTTGCAAGTTGCTAAAAATATCTCAGGAGATGCTTTGTAGACACCAGAGCTAAAACTGCATTGAGATTATTTTGAGTATATTTTTTTTTCTGAAGAGAACTTTCAGATGCTGCGGAAGGATAGGACATTAAAAGGACCATTTATTCAGTGAGTCTATTTTATGACTGCTTCTGACATAGACTCTTTCACGCTAATGAAGGCCAATGATTTGTAAATGGCCTAACATTGAGATTAAGGAACATTATTTCCTCATCAGTTCCCATTTTTCACAGCTCTGTATAAGTCAGATGGGGCCTCTCAGCACTTCTTCCGGCCCAATTCTTTGCAATGTCTATGAAGGTCAAAAGGTAAATCGGAAGCAATGGGAAATCCATTAACAGGTGTCCACCAGTCCCGTGGCTTTGCACTTAGCTTCACTACCTCTGGAGGGCGACAATAGCTGCTTGCTCGTTTTCATTCTCTGCCTGAGTTATCCCGAGGAACTGCCATGCCTACGAGAAACAACTGATGTCAACATTGCAGGAGGAAGCAGAATCACTCATGCGCAGTAGTTGATTTATTTGCCCGAGACAGATCCCTCTATGCAGAGCAACCTGTCTCAGGTGGGAGAGTTTTGTAAAAGGGGAAAATATCGTATGCATTTCTTCAGTCAAATTCTTCTGTGACACTTAGAAACCTCTCCTGTGACCCATGGAAACCCCCTGAGTTTCTGAGATATCAGGTATCTTAAGACCAAAAGATAAGTACACAAAAGTATGCATTTGTGATGCAAAAAGGTAGAAAAATAATCCAGAAATGTAGCTAAATAAAGTTGACAGTAAGAAATCTCAAGATGTACAAGATTAACTTGTATAAACAAAAGTCAAGCAGTTATTAGAAGGGGCAACAGGAAATTTAGAAACTAGGGAAGAACAAAACCAAACCCCTTACAAGGCGTTTAATGCCCTAATATAGGGTTGGGCAGTAGGTTTACAGTTTTGAGCACATGACACAGTTTATTCCTGTGTTGTTATTTATTGCATTATTTTCCATGTAAACAACTATAAACCTACTTTTGCTCCACCCTGTATAGTTACTGTTAAAATGCACAAAATATATAAAGTGCAATGTAATGCACCTATAATTTTAAAGCCTACACTTAACACTTTATATTGCATCATAGCATTTTTTCATGTTTTTACAAAATCTTCCTACTTATAGTTCTTAATTTAAATTTTGTTGAATGGATATACTATTATTAACTCAACCAGTTCCTTTATTGCTCTGAGATTGTTTTCAACCCTTTGCTATTGTAAATAATGTGAGGAATATCTTCAAGCAGATAATGTTTTTCATATCTAGAATGACATTTTTAATATTAGTACAATAATTCTCACACCATTACAACAGCAATGCACATAAAAAAGACCTCCCATTACACATATTGTCCTCAAATTTGCTGGGGGTGTATCTGAGTCTTGGGGATTTGAAAAGGTTTGGGAAGGGCATAACTCTCCCACCTTTGAGAACCAATGCTATGAATGTAACCAAGTGTCATTGAAAAGGTTTGGGAAGGGCATAACTCTCCCACCTTTAAGAACCAATGCTATCAATGTTTTAAAACAAGCTATATGAAAACACTTATAGAGTCATCTTAAAGTGCTATAAGATTATGAATTATTATTACACATACCATACACACTCATAAAAATACTATTTTCCCCCAGAATTTCAGTGACTCTTTTTAATCTTTCAAATGTACACAAAGCAGCATCCATTTTTTATTTCACCTTCCATACATCCTAGAATGCTTCTTAAGAAGAGATGGATAGAAGTCTTTCTCTGAGGGCTTCTTCCTAGGCTCTGGGCATCACTTGCACTGTCCACAGAATGTCTACTATTTTAGATTGGGGTCTACACAGATTCAGAAACCCTGGGTCATACATTATCTGGAACCCATTTGTAACCAAGTGTCCTCATTTTCTCATTAATGAATCTGGGATAATAATGCATACTTTTTCTAACCTCCCAAAGTTGTCGTGTCAAGTGATATAATAGACATGAGAACATATGGCATCTAGAAATGTAAGTTGACATTATTTTTTTGGGGGGGGGTTGACCTGTATTTTTCTATTAATGCAACGATTTTCTCTTCTACAATGATTCAAACATCTTTTTTGTTGTTGTTGACACTATTACAGATGTCCTCCCCTTTGCCCACTTCCACCCAGTCCCTGCCACCCCTCCCCTGGCCTTCATCACTCTGTTGTCTGTGTCCATGGGTTATGCATATATGTTCTTTGGCAACTCTCTTCACCTTCCTTTTAAAATATCTTTTGAAAAATTCTAATATTTTGATTCAGAATGCCAGCTCTCAGTTCAATCTCATTTCATTATCAGTGTTTTGACTAACAAGATACCAGGGGCTTTCGTGATCAGTTTACTTGTTCTTTCAACACGAAGTACAACCAATAGTGGCAATAAAGGCTAAATACTGATGTAGCAGACACTGAACTGAGCACTGAATGAATTTAACCCTCACAAAACCCAATGAGATGGTTATTATAATCGCGATGTCCACTTTAGATATGAGCAAACGGAAGCTAAGGGGGTTTAAATGACTTGCCCCAGACCACATGGCTCATGGCTGACCAGCAGTGGAGCTCAGGATACTGCTGTATTTGAACCCACACAGAATGGCAGAGTCTGAGAAGCTTAACCACTATTCCATACCGCCTTCTCAGCACTGGACATACCCATTCCTAAAAAGTTCTCAAATTCCTCTGGGCATATTTCTTATAAGAAGTTTCCTGAAAATTACAATCTATGAAGAAGGACTTTATACCTGCCACTATCCTATGACAGACCTTCACAGGTTTGGAAGTGTAGTGGAGCAAGATAAGATCGCAGAAGCCTCTTTGGTGGTCTCTCCAATCACCTTTCACACCTCAGAGAAAGGGGTTTTTCTAACACGCCTTTTCCTAGTGCTCCCTCCCCATGGCTTTCAGGATGAAGGTCAATCTCTTGCCTACCTCTTCTTGCCTCCACTCCTGCCATTCTCTCCCCCCTCATCCCCTCGCCTAACCTAACGTTTCAGGTCCCTCTGCTCAGCCAAGAACCATTTCCTCTAAACAACAACGCCACTCCCCTGCTGTCTTTAATGAATCCTCTCTCCTTGGAAACTCAGCTTTGGATCCACTTAGCGGGGAAGGCTGAGTCAGTGTCTTGCTGTCTGCTCTCCTCGCCTCCTGTGCACTTGCATTTATTACACTGCACTGGTTTGTTTACTTGCCCCTCCAGATAGACCACTGACCCGTCTTTTCAGTTGTTCTATTTCTCTGGCCTTTCAGGGATCTGAGCCTAGTGTGGGGCACAAGTCCCGGGACGGAGTGTGTGTTCAATAAATGTGGAGTGAGTAAATCAATGGGGAGAGAGGTGTCTCTCTAGACCCAGACAAGGCAGCACACTGCCCCCTGAATACCGCTGCCGAGCTTCCAGGTAGGCAATTTTAGTTTTTCATTTCTTTCCTCCACCCTTTCTTTTGTGGCACCATAGATAGATATTGCAGATTTGGTTAGAAAACAGTTTATATCACACTACGCCAGGCTAACTCCTTTGGGAACCGTTACTCGATGAAAATGCTACCGGTAGAGCTCTGTGCCACCCTCTGTCCCTCAACTAGCGCGTGCAGCCCCCCTCTGAGCCTGGCAGGATGAGGGGGAAAGACACCTCTGCATCTCCCGGGTCCTGAAGAATCGCGGCCTCCATGAAGAGGATGGTGACTGGGAGGTCCCCTTCCTTCAGCCTCTTTAAGCCTTCTTCAAAGGCGCCTGGCCAGTCCTTGAAGGGGTTTTCAGTGTGGAAGTAATAGCCCTACAACACAGAAGGGCCAACACAGATCCATCGGTTTATCTCCTCATTCTCACATGCAGTAAGCTCTTTTAGAATTTAAATTAAATTAAAGTGTTTAATTAATTTAATTGCAATTAAATTCTTTTCTTTTATTTTTTGAAAATTTTATTTTATTTTATTTATTTTTAATATATATATTTTATTGTTGATAGTATTCCAGATGTCTCCCATTCCCCCCTTTAACCCCTTTCTCCCAGCTCTTACCCACCCCCTCAGGTCTTTGCCACACTATTGCCCATGTCCATGGGCTATGTAACTAAGTAATATGTAAGTTCTTTGGTTTATCTCTTCTCATCTCACCAACCCCTAATTGAGGTATGTTTTATTGTGGTGAAATTTTATTTTATATACATAACATAAAATTAACCATTTAAATTTAAATTACTGTTTTTTTCTTATTATGAATGTACATTTTCATTGTATACACTTTAGATTTTGTAGCTTTTTGTCATTGACTAATATAAAACGTACCCCAAATGCCGCAACCTAAATATGATCACTGCTAATATTTTGGAGTTTGTTTTCATTCTAATATTTCTTTTGTTCATTTTGTTTTAACCATCCCTTGCCCTGCTCCCCAAGATTGTAAAAATACTGAGTTTTTGCATATATTTTTGCTACATGATCCCACAGTCCCCTGAAGTGTTAATACTGCATACTGTACATCTGTTTATGCACTGTGGCCCTTCTGAGGGTTATAAACCATTGTAATATCTAAGATTTCTTTTGTCCTCCCACTCCTCAAACCAGTGTATGCCCCATTGCTGGCTATATCGCCCACTGAGAACGCATGTTTTAAAGTTATAGATCTTCTTTCATTGTAAAAATTTAAACAATGCAGAATGTTCAAATAATCTTCTAGTGTTTTTCTATGACTATGCACATTAAACAAATAAGCTCATGCTATCGGTGCAGTTTTACAGTGTAAGCCCCACTTCGTTTTAGTTATTATAATTATTTATATTAACATTTACTTAGTCAAACCCCTATTGATGGGCTTTCAGATTATTTTCATTTTTTTCATAAATAAAGTTACAGTGAAAGCCTCATGCTCAACTCTTTGTGTGCATTGATTATTACCTTAAGATAGACTTCTAGAGAGATTTATTAGGCTAAAGCTATGAACTATCTTGAGGCCCTTGATATGTGTAGCTGAATTGTTCTTGAGAAAGTATGTCCCAATTTAAACTCTCAACAGAAGTCCCTGAGAGACATTATTTATTGCAATGTTAGCTACATGGATTATAATAAAATCTTTCTAATTTGATAGATATAATTAAGCTAGTCTGTTGATGATGCTACTGAGGTTTTAAAATAGATCAAATGGAGACCTTCAGAAAGACAAACCCCTTATCAAAAGCCACTGAGCTTATGTAATTGTGTTGCGGATATGGGGTCCCAGGAGTGTGGGGCTCAGGGTCCTAGCCATAACTCAGGTTCAAGGACTGTAGTTCAAAGGGGGGGGGGTAGGGATAGAAATGGGAGGCATCTGTAATTAGAGTCTGATGTTCTGCATCAATGTTCTTTCTTCTTACTTAGTTTTGATTTTCTTTTTGTAGAAAAGACAGTTATTCTTAATGAGAGGGTTGTTCCAATTTTATGAGATTGCCTGGCCTACTGAGGGACACAGAATATGAAGAAGAGAAAGACATTTTAATGACTATGTAGATTGAAAATCCCCTAAGATCAGAGACTATTAATCATCATTTCCCTAGTAGCTAGTGCAGAGTAGACACAAATAATTATTTGTTGGATTGGACTATCATGGAAATTATCCAGAACTAAATATTATTGAGACTTCCTCCACCAAAATCACAATACAAGCATATACTATATCTGATTCTCCTCCCCAGTATAAGAAAATTCCACATATCTTTTTATCTTTCAAGTCATTTAAACTTATTTCTCAAGCCCTCCCCTCACCAACTGTTTTTAAAAACACAAATCCAAGGGCAACTGGGACCTCATGGGTAATTTGGCTGGTTGTTCACTGCGCTCGCATTTGCTGGAGCTCCTGTCAGGGAAATATCTCTGAGGGATCCCCTTGGGACTTGACCTGGTTGTGTGAAGGCTACCTTTTCCACTGAGTTTCTTTGCTAGCTGTATAATGACTACCTGTGAGATACAGTCCTAAGCCCTGCTTCATTCCCCTGCCCATTAATATCATTTCTGTCAGCTCATCTATGTGGCTCATGGGACTGACTGACAGAAAGCATTGTGGGATTAGCCCAGGTCTTGTTCCAACACACCCTCAAAGTCAGCTAGGCAAGCAGTCAGGATCCAAGCTGTAGTTGACTGCCAAACTGTCTGTATCAACATTGATAAAAATAAGGGTATTCCATTCCAGCTTCGCTGCTCTGACACATTGTTTGATTATATTGCTTTCATCTACCAGAATTTCTCCTAGATCTGACTGATATTAAATTGTCTGTTTGATTCTTAGATTTTTTTCACAAAATGATTACCAACTAATGTATAATTATATGATTCAGAGAGATTGAGAAAACCTGTCAGCATGTATAAGAAGAGAATTGGTCACCTTCTCGCTAGCTGAAATTGTAACTTGGTTCTGGGCTTCTTGGTTCTCAGATATCCAGTTCCTCCGGGCCATTTCTTCCCATTCTGCTTGCATCTTATCCCAAAACTCTGTATCTGACTAGGAGACAGGAAAAATAAAGAGAGATGGATTTAAGAGCATGCTCGATCGTTTGGGTTATTTCCAGAAAGACAGTTTTCCTTATGGATCAAAATGATACTCATAGTCGAAGAGCTTCTGGAGGGTCCTCAGAGGTCAGAGTGTTGAACTGAATGAACTGTGACTTCCCCCAGCAGGAAAATCGCTATCATCTGAAGGTCCTGGATCATTTAGACCAAATTCAGCTAAAAATCCATTACTTGACCAGACACAGGTTTTAGGAAGGGTGGCCTTTCCTCCTAGGATATGAGGAGCTAGAGCAATAGCTTTGGGACTGGGTAGGCAGTGACTTGGTGAGGCAGTTGGCTATGGACAAAGAAAAGTAACATTAGTTGATCCTACTCTGCACCATGCACTGTGCTGGGAGAAATGTGATCCTAGAACAGTGACGGCGAACCTTTTGAGCTCTGCGTGTCAGCATTTTGAAAAACCCTAACTTAACTCTGGTGCCATGTCACATATAGAAATTTTTTGATATTTACAACCATAGTAAAACAAAGATTTATATTTTTGATATTTATTTTATATATTTAAATGCCATTTAACAAAGAAAAATCAACCAAAAAAATGAGTTCGCGTGTCACCTCTGACAGGCGTGTCATAGGTTCGCCATCACTGACCTAGAAGGCTATGGTCACAAAGCTAGGGTTGCACAGGATTTGACTCCTAGTCTCGCTTCCAAGGTCAGGCTTATCACCTTATGATAAACCTGGCCTCCTGAAGCTAAAGAATGAAGGACCCTGGCTTTGTGAACCCGACTGAGTCATCTTCAAGGTCTTTTCTATGGAGGGATAATTTTTAAAAAATCACTTTTTTTCTTACAGTGTTTTTTTTAATCTTTCAAAAGGGAAACCTGTTTTTACTTCAGAGGAGATCTGTGTTCTGGATGGAGGCAGAATTTTTCTCCAAGATCTGTTCCAGGTTGGCTTAGGTGTCCTGGGAGAGGAAAAAGGGGCAAGTGTCTTAAAGAACTTAAGAGAGAAAGGGGAACTTCCCAGGGGTGGGGAGAGAAGAGGTGGTAGGTTCTGAGATGAGTGAGAGACTGGTGCTTAGTTTTTAGGTATTTCCCTAGCAAATTAGACTGACCTCCAAGGGGATGACAGAGGGGATGATTGGGGGAGAGGCCTGACTTGAACTCTGATCTCCATGTGTCAGGGAAATAGAGAAAAAAATTGAATTTTAGGGAGCCACTTGGGGCTTGGCTGGCTGTTAGCAGCAGCAAGGCAAATAAGAAAGGGAAGACTCATCCTTGTTTTCTGGCAGCACAAATGCTTCCCAGATTTGGTGTCTGAGACTAAATTACTTCCCAGTGTGGCAAGAGAGGTGCTTGGAAACCACCTTATTGTCTTTTAAAGAAAATAAAGAAATGGACATTTCCTGAACACTCGAGTCTGGGGCTGAGATCCATACTCTAGCTGCAAATCTCAATTTCTATGATTCTAAGTCCTGTGACTTGTTGACACACCATCAACTTGATTTGAGGTTGCTTTTCGCCTTTGAATCCTCCCAGTTTCACCTTCCACACCACCCTCATGCCTGGTGGTGGTTGTGCTGTGGCGGGAACTCTTCAAAGTTGCTTGGAATGATAGATATAACCTTATTTCTTCTGCATACAAATGTTCAGGGAATAAAGGTAAACACAATGCGACTAATCCCAGGCTACTAAATAAATAGTAGGCCCTGCTCTCTTCCTTTATCGTATCCAGAATTCTCATTCCTACCACAGTGCTCAGTGGGGGCCTCCCTTCAACGAAGGCTCAGGGCAGCAGGCATCTTGAGAATCTACGATTGGGATGCTAGAAGCACATGGAATGGCCACGTCGCATCCAGGTTAAAATTGGGAATAAAATTCAAAATTTCTTTTACAATGAGTTGTTTTAGTAGAACACCAAATTGTGCAAACAGAATGATCTCAGGTATACAAAGGCAATGGCTAGATAAACTACTTGAAGGAAATATGCTACCCTGCTAAGAGTAATCTCTTTGAATGAAGGGACGATGGGTGATGCTTCTCCTGCTTCTTTACATTTTTCCATACTTTCTGAATTTTCTGATTTTGCATTAATTTTACAATAATAAAGGTTAAAAAAAAAACAATAAAAATACATTAGCTTTCCCTTTTTAGTACCATGAAACCTGAACACTTAGATACTAAGGAGTTAGGAGAAATTTTTTTGGAGTCTCATTGTCTGCCTTGAATAGCTTTTCAAAGATGCAGGCTCATCCTGTCTTCATAGATGCTGACAGAAATCTGTCAAGTGAACTTTACAATGTTTACTGACTTTCCCAAGCCCCCTGGTGGGTAATGTGAAGTGCCAATGACTTCCAGTACTTTTTAAGGCAGTTACTTGTTCCCCTATTGAGGTTCTTCAGAATTTAAAGCGATTACAAGTCTTTTGAAGGAAGGAACGAGAAAGATTTTATAATGTGTGCATCTGGGTTATAAAAAGATGCATCACCTTTCCTGCAGTTTCAAATGCGAGCAGGGGGTGCATAAATAAAACTACTGTGGGCATCAGAGGAACCTCAGCTCAGGGGGTGGGGGCTGCCCGGCTCTCATTTAATGATACACACCAGGCCTCACTGTTACCACTTAGAATAAGTTCTGACTAATTAGAGTGCACAGCACAGTTTCATTTAATTACAGAAGACTATTTTTAACACAATCAATTTTCATCCAGCCTCAAAATCCAGACTTCATTCACCTAACCGCAATTAACACTGCTGCTTTTTTCTATTTCTAATCAGTTTCAAGAAACCTGAGACATATTTGAATTTTAAACATTCTAGACAGGACTGAGGGGATTTAATATATTGATGATTTTCTTAGTTGTCCTGATATTTTGGTAGGTTGTTGTTTTTTTTTTAATATTCCACAGGTAATAAGTTATATGCTTATACCAGAAATGAGCTATTGTTGCAAACCATTTTCATTTTCAAAAATAGCTTTCTGATGATATCAATGGTATTCTTAAAAACTTGGGATATGCAGTATGATGGTTAAGAACAGCAGTTCTCTCCTCAGACGAACCTGGGAACAGATTCTGGCTCCATCACTAACCTTCTGCAAGTACTATTACCTCCCCAGGTCTCATTTTCCTTAGCTTTAAAAGAAAGATATATAATAGTGATCTTGGTTACTTGTTATGAGGACTAAATGAGAAAATGTAAATGTGGCATATAGCGCATGGTAAATCCTCAATAAAAGTAGGTGTTCTTGTTAGTGTTTTTCCAGCATTGAAAACTATTAAAAAAACAACAACAAACGATAATCACCCACAATATCAAAGATCAAATATCTGTATTTGGTGTTTTAATTACATATTCTTTTCCAGATATCTTTCCATTAGTCATATTCATCTTTCCCTTCTAATTATTAAAAAGGAGGAGGAAACTTAAGAATGTTGTGGCAAAATGGACTGTTGTATAGCAATTAAAATGGTACTTATGAAGAACTTCTTACAACCTGGACTAGCTTTTGAGTTATAATGTTTCTTGATAAGTAATATGATCACAATGATAGAAAACAACAAATAACATGCCGGGGAAGCACCAATAGCACTGCTTTCATGGGATGGGATTATGAATAATTTGCAGCCATCACCTTTCCTTGTACTTTCAATATTTCCCAAATTTTCTATTACTAGCATGTGTTATTTTGGTGAAAAAGTGGTTAAAAATGGTGACGTCTTTTTAGTTTTACTTCCTCCAATGATCCCACACTAGAGCAATTTCTTGCCTCTCTGAATTCCTTCAACACATATTCAGTGTTAGTGGTTTAGAACAAGAGAGGTATGCAATAGAAACTGCCATTACCCCTGTGAACTTGAGCAAGTCATTTTAATCCATCTGTACATTATTTTTTCTTATTTGTAAATTGAGAAGACTGGATTTATTAGCTAAATAGCTGAGGCTTCGTTGTCTATGATTCAGAAGATCGGAATAAGGGGAAAGAGAGTATGTTCACTGATCTCGAAAAATTATACTTTAAAGCATTTTCCCCAAAGCATATTTGACATTTTCCCTTCAGTTTTTGATTGTAAAACTAGAAAATAAAAATTTCTATGAAAATCATGACAAAATTAAATATTAATTATAATAAAGAATAAGAAAATAAGTAATTTAGTTTAGAACCAGGACATTTTAAAGATAGCAACATATTATCACTTCCCATTCACCAGTCTGTTCTGGTCATCCTTGAGTTAAAACAGAAATATTTTAAACTTTGTGGTCAAACATAACTGCTGATTAGAATGATCCTGGCGTTGTGATGTGCAAGGACTGATCCGTGTGAGACTATATGCCATTTCTGCCTGTCAGGAATCTCACTTTCTTTTTGCCTCTTTTTTTTAAAATTTAAATTCTTTTTTGTTTAAAGTATTACATGAGTCTCCTTTTCCCCCCATTGACCTCTCCCTGGCCGCTCCCCCCCCCTAGCACATGCCCTCCCCCCCTACTGTGTGTCCATTGGTTATGCTCATATGCACGCATACAAGTCCTGGGTTGATCTGTTACCCCCTCACCCCTCACCTTCCCTCATAGGTTGGACAGTCTGTTCGATGCTTCTGTGTCTCTGGTTCTAATTTTTGCTCATCAGTTTATGTTGTTCATTATATTCCACACATGAGTGAGATATGTGATGTTTATCTTTCTCTGACTGGATTATTTCACTTAGCATAATGCTCTCCAGTTCCTTCCATACTGTTGCAAATGGTAAAAGATCCTTCTTTTAATAGCAGCATAGTATTCCATTGTGTAGATGTGCCACAGTTTTCTAATCCACTCATCTGCTGATGGGCACTTAGGCTGTTTCCAAATCTTAGCTATTATAAATTGTGCTGCTATGCAGGGGTACATATATCCTTTCTGATTGGTGTTTGTGTTTTCTTGGGATATATTCTTAGAAGTGGGCTTACTGGGACAAATGGAAGTTCCATTTTAAATTTTAAAAAAAATATATT